ATCGTCACGTGATTTTTAGTGAAATTCTACAGATAAATGAGAAGAATAAAACTGTCTATCCTTCAATGAGTCCAAACAAATATTCCACGCTGTATATAAAAAATCTGCCGAGTGTTACATAATTATGCTCTGTTACATAATTTGTACGCGGGAATCGCGTCACACAATACATAGTGAGTTCTATCCACGACGTAAAAGCGACGGATACCAAAGGTTCCGGGACGAAGTCGCACTTGTGGGGTGCTTTTAACCTTGACCGTTGCGTTGTTAAACAAATTAGCTGACCTTTATCCATTGACTCATAATTCTGATGGTCTTCCGTTATTTAGATGCCCGTTTTACAGGTGGCACAAGTGGTTTTCTTCGCAAGATGCACACTGGCTTAAGATTCTATCATTCGATAGGATTGACGAAGGTTGATTCCAATTAATAATTATCGAATGACATAATTTCAAAATTCATCCTTGTCCATGAAATAAGTGATTAAATCAATTATCTTGACTCAATTACGTTGGCAAACAGACTGGCGGATTCGATCGAAATTCAAACTCCGTTTTGTTACGAATTATTTCTTTTATAAGTATACAGCGTTCGAATATCTTTATAAATCTAGAGAAATTTATTTCATCCCGCGAATAATTATAATAAAGATCAACGGTCGAGAGCTTCTTTTAACACTCGCCCATAAGACGGCGGAAAATTTATAAGCTTATTTATATGAATGAAAACTCAAGATAAAACATTTAAACTAGTTCATCAAGATATTTAGTTGATTTACAATTTTATAAATGAAATTAATTTTTATAATTTTTCAGAGTATTGATATTTTTCAAAGCAGTCGCCAATGCGTAGTGATGGATTCTCGGGACATGTTGAACAATATGTCCCCGTAGCGGGCCGTTATGTCGATCGTTAAGGGTTAATTTCACAAAAGTTCCAAGTATTTCGGGAAATATTTTATGCGTTTCCGTCAGTTAGAATGCGCATTCCTTAATACGCATGAAAATCCATAATCTGATGACAAACGGATCCGACACAGAATATTTACCAAGGTGAAATGCGAATCTAATAGCGGAAGCCACTGGAAACAAAACGACCCGTGGATGTAAAGGGATGAAAGCGTAAGTAAGTAAGTAAGTGCACATGTGTGTCGAGATAACGAGCTCGTCGAAGAAAAATCGGCCAATTTTATTTATATAATTTTAATAATAAATTCATTCATATTATTAATATTTTTAATAAATTCATTTTTATTTAATATTTCATCTAATCCCATAGATCAATTAATTAATATTATTATTTTCTTTATAATTTATATATCAATTAACATTTATTTAATTAAACCGTCATCAATTTTATATATTTATATAATTTTAATTATCATAATTAGAGGAATAATTTTATTCTCATATTTTATTTATTTAATTAATTCATCTAAAACAAATAAATAAAATTATTTCTAAAACAAATAAATAAAATATTTTCTTATTTTTCAATTTATTTTGTAATATTCACATATTCATTATTATCGTTAAAAATAAGTTATTTTATAGTTATAAAAAATTTTAAAATAATCGATATATATATTCATTGATAAAATTATTTATATTTCCAAATTATTATATTTTTTTAATGATTATTTTATTTATAATTTTAATATAAAGAAAATTTGTTTCACAGAAAATTTTTTTCATAAAAAAAAAAAAAAAAAAGAAATCTCCGTAGGATCGATGAAGCCGAACCTTCGAACGTCTCGTATCCTTTCCAACGGGGGTGGACTTACCATTTATTCTTGTTATTCTCCTCGGCGACGGCCATCCGATGCCTGGTTGTCTCGTATACATCGTCGTTCGCCTGTATCCGCATTTTACACGACAACGCGCCAAGGCTCTCCAGGCTCCTGCACAGGAAAAATGGACCGCTATAAAGAGAGCGATAAGTCGCTAGAACGAGTCTCCTTTCGCCGCTTTTCCCCTCCCTTTCTCTCTCTCTCTCTCTCTCTC